GGTAACAAGAGCGAAACTCCGTCTCAAAAAAAAAAAAAAAAATCAGACGAAATATGGAAAACTCTAAAATTCTGCTCCTCACTTTGAAAAGCCCCCAGCACTAGCATAAGACATGCGCAGGTTCCAGCCTGAGAGACAGGCTTAGGGTTTCCGGTGACTGTAAGCTCCAGGCGAATCAGGAGCAGGGACGCGGCTGCGGAGCAGGGAGGGCAGGTTTCACACCCTTCAGGGGAGGCCCACACTGCCCCACAGAAGGGAGGCACCCGCGGCAGCCCCACACTGCTGATGGTCAGGGACCCTCGAGATCCAGAGCTTGGTTCTGGAGGCTGCATTTACAGGAGGAAACGAGGACCCTGAGGTTCCTAATGAGCAGGAGGATGGGCTGGGGTTATATGGAGAAATTGTAGACAGGAAAACAAGTTTTAGATATTGAAGGGCTGCATGTGAAAAATGATTCGATGTATTTTCTATTTTCTATCATTCCAGCCAAAAATAGTGGTACTAATATATGAAAGCTATAGAAGGGGAAGATCTTTTTTTCTTTTTTTTTTTTTTTGAGACACAGTCTTGCTGTGTCGCCACGCTGGAGTGCAGTGACACAATCTAGGCTCATTGCAACCTCCACCTTCCTGGTTTAAGCTATTCTCCTGCCTCAACCTCCCAAGTAGTTGGGATTGACAGGCGTGCGTCACCGCGCCCAGCTGATTTTTGTATTTTTAGTAGAGACGGGGTTTCAGCATGTTGGCCAGGATGGTCTTGATCTTTTGACCTTGTGATTCGCCCGCCTCATCCTCCCAAAGTGCTGGGATTACAGGCGTGAGCCAGCGCCCCTGGCAGGAGGAGAAGATTTTAACTTAACAATTAAGACTGTTAAAAATGTGGAATGCCCTGTCTGTGAGGTAGAGAGTTCTTTGTCTCTGTGAGTGCCCAGGCAGGGCTGGGTAAATATCCATCTGCGACATATGGGGGCCACTTGGCCAGATGAGAGGTCCTCTGCTTCTTGAGGCCAGAGACCATTTTGTATCCATTTTGGTGCCTTCCCCAGCATCCAGCAGAGTGTGCTGGACATAGTAAGAGCTCACCGGGTGAGTATCTTTTTAAAATAACTATCCTGTGTAAAGCAACAAGGGAGTAGGGTACCAAGAAACAACCAATAAAAAAAAACCATGCTCCCTACCTGCCCCTGAAAGCGATGACGGTTCCACTTAAGGAGTATCCTGTCAGTAACACTAGGGGAAGCATGTGTGTTGTCTTAGGCAGGTGGGTTAGTTTGGTTTTGACTGGGTGTGATATTGGGCGTAACGTAGGATTCCGGTCGGCACTGTGGACTTTTTCTGTGGGGGCATAATTCTAATAGACGGCTTTTGCATGTTGGCCGGATTGAGTCAGGTGAGGTGAGGACTGGCAGGGGGTGCAACAGGGCCCTCTCCCAAATATTCTCAGCCTAGGAGAATAGCTTGGGTCCCCTGACCCGTGTATCCCATTAGATCAAGTATAGGCTGGGGGTTGGGGGAAGGGGGCAAGTAAGGCTTGGGGAGGCTAGAGCAAGGTTCTTGGAAACATGGCACTCATTTACAGGAGGCTGAACCCTACTCTTCTCTCTTCTGCCGTGAGCTGTATGGCCTTGGGCAAGTTGCTTGACTTCTCTGGCCTCAGCTGCCTCCCATCTCCAGGACTCTTTCCTCAGCCTCGATCTCTGAATTTTCCTCTTCCCTCCACACCCCTGCACTTGGCCTTCTCTTGCTTTAGGACTTGCTTTAGGTGCCTCTTCCTCCTCTCTGGCAGCTTTCCCTGCCTCCCAAGCCTGCACTGGATGCCCCTTCGTGATCCCACAGCACCGAGGTGTCCCCGTCACAGCCCTTCAGCCCTGTGTCAGCATATCCTGTTCACTTGACCCCCCTCCTTGAAAAGCAGGTGCATGACCTCGTCCTCATTATATTCTCAGCGCTTGGTGCAGTGCCTGGCAAAGAAGCTGCTGGAAGGATGAGGAAGGGGAAATGATCACTTAGTGATATAAAGAGTCAGCCTGGGGCCAGGGCCTGACTCTGCCTTAGGTCTCTTTGAGATCTAAGACTTGGTATTCCGTCGCAGTGATTCCACCAGCCACATCCTGTGTTCCATGGCCTGGGAGAAGTGTTGGACAATCTTATCTCCTCAGCCCACCAACCTGCCAGGCCTCCTCTGTCAGCCAGTCCAGACCCCCAGGAGTGTTTTCCTTGGCTCTTGGCTCTTCTCCCTCCTTCACCTCTGCTCTAGCCCCAAGCCCCACTGAGGCTGCCTCTCCACAGTTCTCAAATCCCACCCTCTCTTGCCTTCCCCACGGCCCCTGCCTGAGGAGGCCGGCCATCCTCCCTCTTGCCTGCGCCCCTTCGGACACCTCCTGTGCTTCCCCTGCTCTGAGCCGTGCCTCTTCCAATCTCACCTCCACATTGCAGCTGAGTCATCTTCCTAAAGTGCACCTCCGACCGTGCTGATCCACGGGAAAGCCTCTGATGGCTCTCACGGTGTGCAAGACAGAGGCCTCTCCAAGCTGCCCTGCCACAGGCCCAGCCCTATGGGGGTTCCAGCCATTCCATTTGCTGTCCTGACTCTCCAGCCACCCTCACCTCTGGGCCTTCATGTGTTTTTTGTTTCCTCTCCCGGGGATACTCCCTGCCTGTCCCCCACCCTGCCTGCTGCACCTGGGAGACCTCTGCTCATACTTCAGGTCACAGGCAAGGCACATGCTTTTTCCCATTGCCTGACGCCTCCTCTGTGCTGCCTGGGAGTGGGAGCTGTCCCCTCAAAAGCACAGACCATGTTGTTCTCAGGGCTGTGTGGAGTTGAGCAGGTGGTGCTCAGGACCCCCGCAGGGTGCTGCATGGCCCGCGTGAAGAGCCAGCGCTCCTGGAGCCATGCGCTGGGCCCTGCCCTCCTCTCACCCACCTTTGCCGCCCTGCACCCTGCACAGTCCTGGGTGCCTGGGAAATGCTCAGCAGGGAAGGAACATACAAACGAAGGCACAAGCAAGCGAATGAGTAAACAAGGCCTGCCCTCCAGCTTCCTGTTCTCCCTATCGGCCCCGTCCCCAGCACCTGATCTGAGTCGTGCAGCAAGACCGTCCTCCCGCCAACTCTTCTCCCCTTCTCCCTCTGCCTTCGACCCTCTCACCCCACCCCAGAAGTCCTGGGGGACACAACCTAGGGCAGGGTAAGGAGGGAGCATGCTGGTCCCTTTGGGGAGCCCTCTAGGAAAGTAGCTGTGGCCAGGAAATAGCGGGCCCAGGTGTGATGTGGAAATTCCCCCAAGCCCTCTAGGGAGTTTTTATCCTGTTGGTGCCCTTCGTGGCCATCTGAATTGCAGAGCTCTCTGA